GAGAGATCCATGGGCACAGCTGAGGGCTGAGTGTGTGCATGTGGCCAGAGGCAGAGGGAAAAGCTGTGCTTTTTCTTCGATAGTGTGGAATGGCCCTTGGAGCCAGTTGGGTGGGATGGATTCCAGCTGGAGAGGGAGGGAAGCGAGAGGAACATCAGATGAATAAAGGACCATAGTTTTGTTGGTCTTGGAGCTCTGTTTTCTAGGGCAGAGCTGCCTGTGCCAGCCTGTCATAGCCACATTTCTGAGCTGTCTTTCTTTACAATGTTTATATTTATTTCCCTTATTCTTCCAGTACTTTTTGAATACTTTAATGTCCACATCTTTCCATTGCACCTCTTCCCTCTGCTATCCTCTAATAAAACCATAACTGTGGCAATCACAAAAGATCCTGAACAGAAGAAATAAAGCTTTTGCAGAAGGTTCCTTTTTTAGTCTTTTTTAAAGGCATGTCTTTCCTTTAAAATGAAAGATGAAGCATTTTCTTTTATCCTTTAACTTTACTGTCACATTTTATTAAGTCAAAATGATAGTTACAGTCAGAGGAAAGCAGGATATGAATTCCTGGTACAGCCATTTTTAAAGTGCGCTTTGTTTTAAAGCCCTGAAGATTGATTGAAGGTATTTTTCTTTTAGACACAAAGCTTTAGTCAAAAGGGGCCTGATCTGAGTTACCCTCTGTAAATCAGGATTAGTTCCTGTGAAATCAATGGAGTTGCAATGATACAATATGGGGTGAGTTGGAAAAGACTCATGGCTTGACAATAAATAAGGGAGGGACTGTGGGCGATCCCCTGAGCGCTGCCCTTGCGCCGGGGTGAAGCCACGAGGCAAAGCAGAATTACACCCTGTCCCTCTCGGGCTGCCATGGAATGTCCTGGCTGGGAGTTGGGCAGGCAGAGTGGGTTTGTGCTGACCCGGGCACTGAGGTTGCAAATCTCAGCTTTGGAGATGCTCTGAGTGTGCAGACCTCCTGCCTTTCCCAGATGGAGCAGCGCTTTGCACATCCCCTGCTGCTGCCACTACAGGCAGGGAGGGCTATGAGCTGAGAAAGCCTGATTTAAGAGACAAGAGGATGGTGGCAGAAGTGGTGCCTATAAAATACCTGACTGTGGAGCAAATGTCACCAAATCCAGTGTAGCCTTAATTTATTGACCTTTTCTGTCAGAGGGCTGTAGGGATTCACTGGGTTGAGTAGAAAAGGGGAGAAAGATGCCCCATCACTGGCCCTTGGGGCTTCGCAGAGGCTCAGAGGACAGGCTTTCATGAGGGACAAGACAGATAAACTTGGACAGATAATATTTTTGGACATTTTAATCTCTTTTTAATGTGTCTGCATTGGGCCAGGGAGAAGAATAGCTAAGGTGGTAAAGATGCATCAGGATGAGCAAATAAAGAGTTGAAATGATGTGTCCTGTCTGAGATTTCAGTTTAACCAGGGATTTGAGCTCTTGTCTCTCATCTGCACTGAAACCTTGACAACTGATTTCTTGAGCCCTAAGCCATTCTGAGCAGACAGTCTAATAAGAACAGCTCTTTTTATAGCATTTAACTGTATCTAAATGGCTTCAGGCCAGGGCAAGTTCCAATACTGCAAAGCACCACTACTCTGGACTGTGCTTGGGACGTGCAGTGTTTTAGCAGTCTGGGTGGGGACTGGCCCTAAGCACTGATCATACTCCAGGCTTCACAGTGAAAACCTGCAGCTTGGGCAAAATGGGAGGCTTGGATTTGGCCACCTCCAGTAAAATTAAAACATTTCATTTCATTAAAACACTTAATAACTTCTGGACTCTCCCAGGCAGTTACGAGCTTGCTCTTGGCAATGCAGCTGACCTGCGCTTGCACATGGCACTGCTTCATATTAGGAGTGTGGGGTTCTCTTTGGAAATTAACTTGCAGCAGCTGGGAATTACTAAGTTAGAGTCTTAAAATACTGAGAAAAAGTAAACAAGGAAGCCTGGGAAAGGACAGGTTGAAGGACTAAGATTTTTCAGTGTTATCCACTGTCTCAATATTGTTCAGCTCTAGGGCTCTGACTTCTCTTGCCCTTGATCAAGCTGGCATTTACCCACTGACTCTGACTCCAATAAGACACCAGCTCTGAACTGCACATGACACTGATTTTCCTCAACTTTCCAGCACACAAATGCTCTACACATTTGATGAATGCAATTGGATGTAGGAGGTAGAGAACACAGTGAAGGATACAAGTTTTTTATAATGTTCCTTTTTCACCTCATTTGAAACCTCGAGTTTGGTCATTTATTATTTTCCACTTCAAGTTTGAAACCATTATTTTCATGCACACTTTGGATTTCCCTATGACAATAAGGAAAAGAAGATGGAAATTTACCCCAAATACTGGTTACAGCTTTCTAAGGAACACTGAAGTCTCTTGGACTGTGGTAAAATCTCCCAGGGAAAGTGGCAGAAATCCAGATACTTGGCACATATTACAACTAGTCCAGACAAAACACTAGTAAATGTACTCTGCTTTGGCACAGAATAGGCTGTGGGATGTTATGAATCTTCTCTGTATGCAACTTTTTATCATTTCATGACCATAATGAGTGTGAAACTTGAATTTACTCATCTGCTCATTGCACACCACACAGGGTAGAGGAGCACAGGACCCTATAATGTGTCTTTGTTTTAAGTTTTTTTTTCACCTAGCTTGAGATCATTGTTTGGATGATTAGTACATGAAAATGGTCATAATGGCTCAGACTAGAAGTCTGTCTAGTTTAGGACCTTCTTTCTAGGATTGGCCAGTGATGGCTGCACTGGGAGTAGTAGAGTGTGCATAAAGTGAGATTTCTATGACTGTCTTTTCCAGTTTCCAGCAAGGATATCTGACAGTGAAAAAGTCCTTTTTGCCTTTTGTGCTTTTCCCACAACAACCACCTCCTATCTAAGGAAAGTTTGGCTTTGACTTTAAGTGTATCCGAAAGCTATACAAAATGCATCACCCTGGCCTTCACATCTCTGTGCTGTGTTTAATTTCTGGATCTTTACTGGAAAAAAAGGATCATTTAATCCAGTGGCTGAAAATATAATGTGAACCTTCATCATCAATAATTTTTATTACAGTGTGGCTCATACAATATGTCCATCTTGTGAGGTGCCACAGTACTCAGTGGTGTACACCCTGCAGTATGCTTGTGCTTAATGCTGTGCTGGCCTTAGCTTTAAATGATTTCACATCTCTTCCTTCTGCCAGTCCCATTTCTTAATTTAACATTATATTTGCTGTGCTTTTCAAAACAGTCACCCCCCATAATAAAGTGCTGTAGAACCTTTTTTGGAGAGCTGGAAAGGGATTTTATATATCGCTGCATAAAATCTGCATGTATATGGGGATGGAAAAAATGTGAAATGTTGTAATGTCTCACTCACACTGGTTGGGAAACCAAGTCCCTAGAATTACCCTGAGCCCTGAATGCCAATGCTATTTTCAGTCAGAGGTATGGAGCTGCTGCTGAGGACGTGCAGAATGGATGCACTGACAACTCATCGTTATGCATGTTTAAAATCACAGAGAAAGACAGTTAAGAATAAAACACAGGATCCATTTTTCAAACCAACTGTCTCCCATTTCTGGTGTAAGCAGTTCCTTATTGCTCTTGTGATGCCTGAAGACCTTTAAAAGTTTCTTCCAACTCCTTGATGTCACAATATTGTCCTCTATATTGGAGTTTGCTCCCTGCCACAATCCTGTCATTGTGCATCAGTGCCTCATGTTACCTGCCATCAGCCTGCTCATTTCAGGTCACTGAAAGTGTTTTAGAGACTCCAAACAAAAATATAGAGGTATCAGACACTGCAGGTGTTGACTGTTGCACTAACTTTATGAATGACATCTGTAGGATTTGAAAATCTCATAATGTGTGAATTTGATCAGAATTAGCTTTATCACTAGATAAGATTTAAAGGTAGGAGACTCTATTTGTTTGAAAACATGTGCTTGCAGTAATTGAACAAAGTTACATAGGAAAATATACTATGCACATCAATAAGATTAAATTTGGCAATACAGATTTTCTTAAGCTGCAGCATCATCTTGGGGAGCTTGTGGCATAGGCTAATTAATCCTCCATCCTCTGCCTCAGGCCTGGTAGGCCTGGGAATTTTTAGAGCTGTGCCTTTACTGCTACTGTTGTTAAAAATGCTCACGTAGAAAAGACATGACTTTCCTCTCTCCTCGCCTGAGTGAATGCTCCTCCTATTTAGCTGTGCCTCAGCTCTTGTGACTGGAAGCTATAGCATCCCATAATAATGAAGGCAATCGACTCACTTCTCACCATTTTCCCCTTTAGATTATTCTAACTTTTATGTTACCTCAATTAGCACTTTCCTGGCAAGACCTTTATACTGGCTTGTTTTGTTTCAAGACATTTAAAGCATCGGTGGTCAGATGTATGAATCACATGTTAAAACAGAGTTTTCATGGTGACTGATGTTTGCCTTTCCTTAGCAATCTCTTGAATTTATGGACACATGAAATTTACTATGGACACATTTTGAAATTGAGGAGGCAGGTGTCTACACTGGGGGAAACATTTACACCTGGGATATTTGAAATTTCATGTTGTCAGTGCCAGCCATTGCACACCAGGTGCTTTATAAGACACACACCCCAAGGGTACACAGAGATACGTGCTAGGGAACTGTGCACTTCCCTGCTTTATGGCTGCAAATTGTGGTGGTCTTTTTGATTTTTGTGTTTGTTTGTTTGTTTGTTTGGGTTGTTATTTTTGTTGTTTTTGTTATTTTTGTTTGGTTTGGCTTTTTTGTGCTGTTTGTGGAATATTACCTTACGTACTTAAGCACAAATGGGGTTGGTAGGAAAGGGGAACTCCACCCTTCTCCATGTTACATGCTCTGGATAAGCATTTGCCTTTGTGAAAGTGGAACCTTTCTGAAAGTAGAATTATTTGTATTTCAGGTATCCTCCGTGGGCCTATCTTGGAAGCTAGATCTGCAGCTGCCCTTCAGTCATGATTGTTTCAAGATTAAAGGCCATTTCCCTGTCAGTGCCAAGCCTTTTTCTTCTTGCTTTTCATCTCTCAGCATCACAGAATGTACCTGAATACACTGAAGCTGAACATCAGCAATGTGTTAGGAAAGAACACCCCACAATTGCTTTTGAAGGTAAGAGCTTCTATTCCTGTTCCAGTTCCAATTGGATGATCCATTTAGGTTTAGTCTGTGCTGTTTTTCCTTACAACTCTGATCCACAGGCCTAGGGAAGTGGCCTGAGGAATCATTTTCCCTTTGATGCTTTACAGTGTTTTAATTCTGAGGTTTCACAGCAGTCACTTAATCCAGGCCGTTTTGGGACTACAGGTCTAAGAATCTCAATTTTCTACTCTGTTACAGGCTCCCTGTAATCTTGTGCTGTGCTGAGACTGTGTTTCAGTTTCCTTTTCTCTAACTGGTTTCAGTAATGCCTCACCTGGCTTGCTGGAGCCAGACACTTAATAAGTGAAATGTGATAGAGAATTTGGACACGCTTGAATGCAAGAGAAATGAGTTGATTTAAAATTGCAGGGAGTGGCTTTGCTTTTGTTTGTAGCATTCCTGGTTTGGTTTGGTTTTGTTATGTTTTTGTCACCTGGGCTAGTAGTTTTTCTGTCCTTCATGTGGGCATTTAACTTGAATGTGAGAGGGGGCCTTTGTGTTGCAATGGCCAATTCTTTTGCCTTCTTTCAAAGCCTGGGATTTCTCTTGTCCTTATCTGCTCAGATTTTCCATGAAATTATATGTCATGTACTCCTCAATTGTTGCCTGGATAATCTGTCCACTTATCCACACAACAGCTAGGTCTTTATATTGGTACCACTATTATTTGAAAATTCACTCCAGACTAGTGTGTTCAACTCAGTGTGCCAGCATCAGCAGCTAAAAATGGTTTCCTCCGAAATGTTGGAATATCGATTTTGGTTCCCATTTAAGACTTTGCAATGCATCTCCAGTTACAGTCTTTGCTAAAGGCAATTGAGTACCTTGCAATGTGTCTCTAGTTAGGTTCTTTGCTAAAGGCAATTCAGTTGTGGTTTTGTGACCTTTGAGATAGGGTTTCCAGGAAGAAAGTAGTCAAAGGCTTCCTTGCTGACCTTTCAGGGTTCTTCTAGAGAGCTTTACTAGTCTTCACAGAGGAGGAAACTCTTGTCTCTTAATTTGGAAAGTTTAATGTTTTCCATTATCCATGCCTTAAGGTTTAAGTGGATTAAAATAAATTAGCAGAATCTTTAAGCCTACATGATACAGTACTGGCTCTAACCTTGGACTGGTAAATAAACTTTTATTTTAATTTGCTAAATAAATCTAACCATCTGTTTTAACTGGGGAGGGCCAAAAGGAGAAGCCCTTGCTGTTAAAAAACAGTGAAATTCAATTCATTAAATAAAAAAATAATGAGAATATTATAGGTACAGAAAAGAGAAAGAGTGTTGCTCTCTCTATTAACCAGGAGCACCAAACTTTGAGTTTACAGAGGATGTGTCTGTGCAATCCTGCACTGAGGTAAATCATTCTGCAGGGAATATTAAAAGCCCCAATTCCTGAAGTTGAGGAATTGGTGGGCATTTCTTGGCACTCAATATGAGCGCTACTCTGCAGAATTGATGGCTGTGTAAACACACTCATAATCTGCCAGTTTGCTTTGTTTTAATAAGGCATGAATATTTCACAGAAAAAAAAAATCTGTCTTCTCCTTTCACTGTTCTTGTTCCCTTCCTTTTTTCAATGATAGAGGGCAATTAGAACCTGACAATTGTGCAGAAGAAAGAAAGATTGAAATTGGAGATGCATCAAGAAAATAACCCAGATTACAATTTCAGATTCTTAAACCTGAGTTAGATTCAGAGTTATGTTTTTTCACAGCACCTGTTTCCTTGTGATTGTTCATGACACAGTTTAATCTTGTATTTTCTGCTGCAAAGCTCAGCTGGAAAATACACTGTAGGAATTAAATTAACGGCACCTTTTGTCCACTGCACATATGGTCTGGTGAAGAGGGCTCACATGTCCAAAACCACATCTCAGTTCATAATCTGATTTCTCTTAAAGCTATACCCTGATCTGATGCCAGCACAGGCAGGTTTAGGCTACAGTGGTAGACAAGTAGGGGAATCTAAATTTTATGTGGTGTTCCCAGATTGCTCTGAGGATGTCTGTGCTTAACAGTGTGCCTCAGGGGCTTTCTGTGGCTCTCCAGATGCATCGACTCATGAATCACAAGCTGGTACACAATGGGAGAGTGTAATGATTGAAAGAGTGACCCCAGCAGAGCCCTTCTGATGCTCCTGCTGCCAGGGGAAAGGATTATGTTACACCAGCAATTTTCTGTGGATGGGCCACAATAATAATAAGGCCTCTGACCATTCAGTCATACAGGGTACATTAATTTACTGCCAGAATGAATAGGCTAACAAAACAGTTTATGTTACAAAGGGGTTCAATAACTTATTTTTCACAGCCTTGCTAACCAGGCTTCCCCATCACCAGACAAATGGGATGCCATACCGTGTTTTGTGTTCTCTAGTCTTCAGTTCCCACTTCACTTGTGCTCAGTCTCTTGTTATTATACTTTACCCCTAGATTATATTCTTAACATCCAGTTGACTGGATAATGTCCTTGTTGTAGAAAAATCCAAGTAAAATTTCTTTCTGTCTATTTTCCCCTTATTTCCTGAGAAATTTTTTATTTTTATGTTCTTATTGTATCTCATCCACACTAGCCAATCATCTGTTTGATTGGCTTTGTATCTCTTTGTCTTGCTATGAGAGTGGGTAAGAAAGATATAACCCATGTCCTACTCATTTAAGCAGAAAGGAGATTATGTGTCTAAAATGCTTTTACTTTAGCTGTATTCAGACCTGAAGAAATGCCTGTTTACAGACTCCATTCCCAAAATTATTTGTGCCATTACATACGACATAGAGAAAATGGCCTAGACAAGTCAAGGGGCATACATTCTGGTTCTAGATATATATTAAATGCTAAAGATAACATTTGCTCTGCCAGGAGAGATTTGAGCTGGGGAGGGGCCATGAGCTGAATGGTTTATCCTTACAGCCTGCGTGGAGTTCCTGAGGGACACAACAGGAATTTTGTGCTGCAAGCATTGTCCTGTGTGTTTGCACAGTACCAAACTATCACAACGGCGCCCCAGTTTCCCTGGGGCTTATAAATGGTGCTCATTGTACAGTTCACCAGCAATAATAACATACCCATTTTGGGCTTTTCATAATTAGATTGTTCTACTCTGTGCTTATAGGAAATACAGTTAAAGTTTGATTTCCCTTGTTAGATCAATAAGAAAATTATCTTCTACTTCCCAGGAGGCTGTTTCTGCTGTCTTACTATCTATTTGACTGTTAGTGGGTAGCTACATTAGGGATGTTGCATGCTTGTTTGTTTTTCAGCGAGTTGAGAATTTAGTGAAACAAGTCAAGTGTATTCTTAGTGCGTCCCTTTTTATTTATACATGCATGTACGCATGCTTCCAAGTTCCATTTCACAAAACAGTTTGTCATCCCAGCACAGCTCCCCTGTGGTCCACCCTGGTAAGCCAAACACCAGAGAATTTGTTTCTACTTCTTGTCAATCATATTCATATTTCTCATTTTTTCTGTATGGGTTTTACTGCTGATAGATCAGTGCCTGCATTTGCAATTGGGCTGTGCCTGTGTCCTACTGTCCTGGTTGCCAGCAGCATACTTCATTATTGTACAGCCCTTTCTTGGATATAAAATACCTTTGCTATTCCTTAAAGACATTTGGAGCTCCTTTGTAACATGCCTTTTGGAAAAACCAGAAACATCTTTCATGTCAATACTATATAAGGTTTGTTATTTCAAGAGCCAGAGCCAATGAGGGACGTGCACTCATGTTTGTAATGGCTGCAGAGTGTTTGGCTTCATCTTGTTTACCAAGTGCTTAAAACTTTGCAAACTCATCTGTGTTATGTGAATCATTTGGATGTTCACAACTTCACTGGAAATGAGTTGTAGACAGGTTTCCACTTGCAGTTCCTTCCATTATTTATTTCTCATTAATTTAATCCATTAAATCAGTATGCTCAGGAAAAAGTATCATAACTTCATAGATTTTTCTCTGGTCTGTCTCTCAGGACTTTTTCCCCTGGGTCATGGCAGTTAGGATAAGCTGGAAACATCCTTTCTCCCTGCTGTAATAATTGCAGCTTGTCTTCATCCATAAAACACTTCAGCTGATATCCCATATTGAGGCACAGGAGAGAGGGGGACTTGGTTAAATAGCTTAGATCTCCTCAGGACTGCAAATCTCAACTTTGCAGACTGTATCATCATGGCCAGTGTGAGTTCTCAATGTATGGCGTGTGATCCATTGTCTAATCCTCAATCTCTCCTAGATGCAGACAAGTTGCTCTGTCTGTTGCCTCAGGTTTTCAAAGTGATTTAGTTTGGGAGTGTTTAAATGTGGGGGTTTACTTCAGACTGTCTGTAATTATTACCTCCTACCAGATAAATGTGATTCAGGTGACTTGAATGTAGCTTGCTACGCATTTTCTCAATATTTTGTTTCTTTAAACAACATTTTCTTGAAATGTGCCCAGCTTCAAACACTGAAACCTATGGGGAGCAGCTAAATATTTTCTTGTATTGAAAGCAAAAGCTATTTTAACTTTGTGGGCTGAAGGATAATAAGGTATGATTTATTTGTGTTGAAAGTTCTTGACATTTCACCATACACTCCCACTATTGTTGAATTGGTCACTAGTACATTATTCCCTTTACTGTATACTGAAGGGAAAAAAGCACATTAGCATTCATCAACTCCAAAGGCCAGCTGGGAAAGCCCCATAGGAAATTCTGGTCAAGATATACACTTTTCTTGAGCAAGTGAGATTTTGACAATCCAAAACAAAATTTTAGTTAAAGAAGGATGAAGATCGTGAGATGAAGTATTAGAGCTGCATGTAAGCATTAAGGCAAGGCACAATACATTATGAGAGAATTGTCTTCTAGCTCATAGCCTTGCTGCTCTTGGTTCTCCATGCAGGGAGTCCAAACATTAACTAATGATGGAGTTTCGACTGGAAACTGGTGGCATCCTGTGGGTGCTTCAGAATATTTGACCTTCAGTGCATTTCAGCATGGATTTT